ATTCCGAGCCGGACCGCGCCGAAAATGGCCGTAGCATTGGCGACAACACCGTGGGAAACAGCCTGGACATCACTGGGGACGGCACTGAGGACGACGCGGTGGGCTTCCGCTCCGCCGCCGACACTGTCCGACAGCTCGATTTTGCCCGCCACCAGGGTCAGGTTGGCCACTGTAGCCGCCAGATACAGCTGGAATCGCGTCTTGACCCTGCCGAAATAGCGGGACTGCCGAATCCCCAACTGGACCAGTCGGGCCAACCGGTGTTCCACCGCCACGCGTCGCGCTCGATATTCGTCGTAGGCGGCGCTCTGCTGCAACGCCCGTGCCTCCTGCAGGAGGCCTTCCTGGGGATGGATCAGCACCCGCCGTCCCTTCCTGCCCTTGGCTGCGATGCACTGGGACCGCAGTGGACATGTCCGACATTCGGCCCCGTCGAACTGGAAGGCCTGCAAGCGGTATACCCGCCCCGCGGCATCCGTCCGCTTTCCCGCTGGCACGATGGTGTGGGTGACCTGTCCCGCCGGACAGGTGCAACTGCCCGCGGCCAGGTCGATGACAAAGTCATCCTTGGGAAAGTGCTTCCGGTCGGGCCGGCCTGGCACCCGGGCTACCAGCTTGCGGCCCACATCGGCGAAGGTCTGCCTGGTAGCTCCGTCCCCATAGGCGGCGTCGCCCATGGCCTCCTGCACCGGTACACCGGTGTTGGCCTCGCTCTGTTCCACCAGTTCCAGCGCCCCCAGGTTGTCCGGAGCGTTGCCGGGCAGTACCGCCACGGCGGTGATCAGCTGGGAATCGGTATCCACCACAATCGCCGCCTTGTGCCCGTCAAAGCGCCGGCTGCTGCTCTTGTGGCCGTGGCGCATCTCCGGATCATGCACCGACATCATCCGGTCCTTGCTCACCCCGTCCTTGAGGCTCACGCCGCCCTCAACTCGTTCCACGTCCTGGAGCAGCAACTGCCCCAGCAGTTCCGCCGCCGTCACGATGTGCTGCCGCTCCTCACCATTCTCGGGCAACTCCCCCTGCGCCTGCCGCGACAGCTCCAACAGCCGGTCCGCGTCTCTCACAATCTCGGCCAGCAGGGTCTGCCGCGCCCGTTTGTCGCTCCAGTCGATGGCGGCCTCGCCCTTGATGCTGGAGGCAAGGTACCGCCCGTATCCCTGGGCCTTGCCCCATTCTTTGACGGTGATCTTCTCCACTGCTGCCAGCGCCCGCAGCAGTTGGACGATCCCGTCGGCCAACAGGTTGCAGGTGTCCTTCACCGCGCCCCGACCCCAGGATGTTGGTCGTGTCCAGCGCCACCTTCATGCTCCGCTTTTTCAGGTAGCCCGACTCCCGGGCCAGCCGCAGGCTGGACTCGAACACCTCCCGCACCTTGTCGTGCAGGATCAGCTGGGCGCGGAACACCTGCAGTGTGCTCTTGGCGAAGGGCCGGTCCTCCACCTCAATCCCCAGGGCCACTTTCCACCGGAGGTCAAAGTCAGCTCTGGCCTTGGCCTCGGCGTCGCTCACCTTGTCGTGGGACTGGAGCAGCAGCGCCGTCGCCAGCAGGCTGGGCGGCACGCTGTCCCGGCCGTTGTCCGGGCAGTAGAACTCGGCGAAATCCGCGTCCCGGAACAGCCGGCCCCGCAGTGATGCCAGCAGACCGTAGAAGGTGTCCCGCCCCACGTGGTCCAGATACAACCGGTCCGCTTCCCAGAGACCCCTCTGGTCCGATCGCTCTCCCAGCATTCTCCGCCCTCGCTATCCTTGTTGACCCCAAGTATAGCCGCCCGCCCGGCCACCGCCACTTTCCGGCCAGATTTCTAAACTAAAGCCAAGGTGGGATGTACATTTAAGTGGCGATGATGATCAACTGGGTTGCGCGGGTAAATCCCTCTCATCCGTACTTGGAGAATGACCCGGCTCTGTCGTTTGACCCCCGCCATCTGCGCATTTCACCTTGGCTTTAGTTTAGTAGTCCACCAAGTTTGAATGAAGGCTGGTAATATGTAAAGGGGAAGGCCTAACGGGAAGGAACTGGGAAGGGGGTTGAGGTGATGATTAAGAAATACCGGGTGCAACTGGCGGAAGAGGAACAGGAGGAATTGAAAGCCCTGGCGTCCAAGGGGAGTGTGGCGGCTTATAAGCAGACTCACGCCCGCATCCTGCTGCTCAGTGATGAGAATTAGGCTGAGGGCCCACTGACGGACCAGGAGATAGCCCGGGCTTTGAGAGTAGGGATTTCTACAGTGGAGCGGGTGCGTCGGCGCTGCGTAGATGAGGGAATTGAGGCGGCACTGGGACGAAGGGAGCAGCTTAATCGGCGTCAGAAGAAGCTGGATGGTTCGGGGGAGGCCCACCTGATTGCGCTGGCCTGCACCGAAGCTCCGGAGGGACGGGCCGGTTGGACGCTGCAACTGCTGGCGGACCGGCTGGTGGAATGCGAGATAGTGGAGAGCATCAGCCATGAAACGGTACGCCAGACGTTGAAAAAAACGCACTCAAGCCGTGGCTGAAAGAGTGCTGGTGCATCCCGCCGCGGGAGAGCGCGGAGTTTGTCTGCGCCATGGAGGACGTTCTGGAGTCTATCATCGCCCCTATGCCGACAGCGAGGTCCTGGTGTGCCTAGACGAGACCAGCAAGCAGCAGGTAAAAGAGACGCGCCTGCCGCGGCGGGCTCGGCCTGGGGCGGTGGGCTCCTACGATTACGAATACGAGCGCAACGGAGTGAGCAACCTGTTCATGCTGTTCGCCCCGCTGGAAGGGTGGCGTCGGGTGGAAGTAACGGACCGGCGCACCAAGGCCGATTGGGCCCGGGTGGTCAAGAAACTGGTGGACGAGGACTACCCCGACAAGGAGCGGGTAGTGCTGGTGATGGACAACTTGAACACCCACCACCCGGCCTCCTTGTATGAGGTATTCGAACCCGCCGAGGCGCGACGCATAGCCCAAAGGCTGGAGGTCCACTACACGCCCAGGCATGGAAGTTGGCTGAACATGGCGGAGATAGAACTGGGGGTATTGGCACGGCAATGCCTGGACCGCCGGATTCCAGACCAAAACATCCTACGGAGCGAGGTGGCAGCGTGGCAAGCAGAGCGCAACCAAGCCGATATTCGAGTGGACTGGCGCTTCACCACCGCAGACGCACGCATCAAACTGAAGTCCCTTTACCCGTCACTCCAATCCTGTGGACTACTCAGTCGCCTTTATGCAGGCGTCCAACTGCTCCAACTACACAGGGTCATGGCGGCACCCTGAGACCGCACAGAACTTTCTGGACCTGCGGTATTACCAAGACATTGCCAGGACGCTGGAGGCGGCAAATTTCACATGGCGTTCATAGACGACCGGCTGGCCATGCCCAGCCGCTACGGCGACTCGTACGCCGAGGCGGTGGAGCACGGGGTGCGAGCGGTCAAGCTGGACCTCGTGCCTGTCATTACGGCGATGGGGCTGGCCACGTCGCACCTGGGTTTGGGCGCGACGTATTCGACCACCTACTACTCGCCGTTCCATGTGGCCCGGGTGTTTGCCTCCCTGGACCATTTCACCAGCGGGCGCGCAGCCTGGAACGTGGTGACCTCGCTGAACGACTCGGAGGCACACAACTTCGGCGTGTCGGAGCATCTCGAACATGACGACCGCTATGACATGGCCGACGAGTTCATGGATGCCGCCGGGGCACTTTGGGATTCCTGGGACGACGGAGCAGTCATAGCAGACCGGGATGAGGAGCGATTCGCGGACTCAAGCAAGGTACGCCGAGCCGATTATGAGGGCCAACACCTGAGCTCCCGAGGGCCTTTGACCGTGCCTCGTTCGCCGCAGGGACACCCGGTAATCATTCAGGCCGGTCAGAGCGGGAGAGGCCGCCAATTTGCCGCCCGCTGGGGAGAGATGCTCTTCGTCATATTTCCCACACCGGAAGGGTGCAAGGCCTACCGGGACGACCTGCGGGCCCGGGCGGTCGCCGTCGGACGCGACCCAAACTCGATAAAGGTGGCGCCTGCGGTCTATGCGGTTGTGGGCGAAACGGAGCAGGAAGCTGCCGACAAGCTGGCCTACATAGACGGCCTGGCCCGGCCCGTTGACTCGCTGGCGTTGCTGTCGGAGGTGTTCAACTATGATTTCGCCCAGCACCTGCCAGACGAGCCGCTGTCGGACGAAGTCATGGCGTCAATGACCGGGCTGCGCGGGTTCCTCGACCGTGTGATTCAGCTGAGCGGCAACCCCAACCCGTCGCTGAACGATTTCATCAAGTGGTCGGGCCGGGGTACGCTGCGGGAGTTTCCGACGTTCAACGGCACACCGGCGCAGGTAGCAGACCAGATGGAGGCGTGGTTCGGATCGGAGTCCTGCGACGGGTTCGTGCTCGCAGCCACACACATGCCAGGGGCCTACGAGGACTTCGCACATCTGGTCGTGCCCGAACTGCAGCGGAGGGGGCTGTTCCGGCGCGAATACGTGCCCGGTACCCTGCGAGACAACCTTGGGCTGGCTCGGCCAATGAGGATGTAGTCCCACGCCGACATGCACGTCCATTTGGAATTGGCAGACCCCACTCCTGAGTAACTTTCGTTGGCATCGTTTGGGCTTGGGGCTATAATTGCGGCAGCGCAAGTAGAGTCTGCAGGAGAGAAAAGAGTTATGCCTTTGCCTGAACGTTTGAAATTCGGAATATTCATGGGTCCATTTCACAGAGTCGGCGAGAATCCCACTCTTGCATTGGACCGGGACCTGGAACTGGTGCAGTGGCTCGATTACCTGGGCTTTGACGAGGCCTGGATCGGTGAGCATCACAGCGCAGGATGGGAGACCATCTCATCGCCCGAGATTTTCATCGCAGTGGCCGCCGACCGCACCAAGCATATCAAGCTGGGCACCGGCGTCATCAGCATTCCCTATCACCACCCCTTCAACATCGCCAACCGCATGGTGCAGCTTGACCACATGAGCCACGGGCGGGTCATGCTGGGCGTTGGACCGGCGCGCTGCCCGGAGACGCCTACATGATGGGCATCGACGCGACGGTTCAGCGGCAGCGGATGGATGAGGGTCTCGGCATGGTGCTGCGGCTGATGACGGAGACAGAGCCCATCTCCTATGAGAGCGACTGGTTCACCCTGCGCGAGGCGATGCTGCAGCTTCGCCCGTACACCAAGCCACACATGCCCATCGCCGTGGCCTCGGTGCAGTCGCCGTCGGGCGTGGCGCTGGCGGGCAAGTACGGCGCATCGGTGCTGACCATCACCGTGCCGCGCGACCCGGGAGCACCCGACTCCGACCTCGGCTCGCTGTGGGAAATCGCCGAGACATCGGCAGCCGAGCACGGGCAGACGATGAACCGCGACGACTGGCGGCTGGTGCTGCCGGTACACCTGGCCGAGACCAAGAAGGACGCGATGAAGCAGGCCCGCCTCGGGGCCGGACGCTACCAGCGGGAGTACTTCGAGCACACCATGGGTCGCGACGCCATCGTCGACGGGCCGCTGGAAGACATCATCGAAGTGATGGACGAGAGGGGCTCCTGGATCATCGGCACCCCGGACGACTGCATCGAGGGCATCAAGAAGCTGGAGGAACGCAGCGGCGGTTTCGGCGGCTTCATGGTGCAGGCCATCGACTGGGCGCAGCGGGAGCATGTGATGCACAGCTACGAGCTGATGGCCCGCTACGTGATGCCCGCATTCCAGGGCACAACGGCCAGCACCGCCGGGTCGAACCAGTGGGCGTACGAGCGCCGGGATACCCTGAAGTCGGGCCGGGCCGCCGCCATCGACCGGGCCAAGGCCGACTACGCCTCCCGAGCCAACTAGTCTCGCCCGGTAGATTCGAGTCAGGATACGTGTAGGGGCGCACAGTTGTGCGCCCCTACTACTAGCACGGAGTCAAGCATGAAAGCGATCTGGTACGAGCAGAATGGCCCCGCCGAAATCATGAAGGTTGGGGAGATGCCGACCCGGATCCCGGGCCCGGTGAGGTGCGAGTTCGCGTCGTCTCGTCCGGGGTCAACCCGTCGGACTGGAAGCGGCGGGCTGGTACCACGGCGCGTATCGGCTTCCCTCGGTAATTCCGCACCAGGACGGCGCGGGCGTCATTGATCGCGTTGGCGCGGGAGTGCCGGAGTCGCGGGTGGGCGAGCGGGTCTGGCTCTTCGAGTCGCAGTTCGGCCGTCCCTTTGGGCTCGGCGGCCGAGTACACGGTGCAGCCGTCGGGGCACGCCGTCCGGATGCCCGACTCCGTCAGCTTCGCGCAGGGGGCCTGCCTGGGCGTTCCGGCGATGACCGCCCACCGCTGCCTGTTCGCCGACGGGCCGCTGGACGGCAAGGTCGTGCTGGTACCCGGGCGGTGCCGGAGCCGTGGGGCCACTACGCGGTGCAGGAGGCCAAGCTGTCCGGGGCCACGGTGATCAGCACCATAAGCTCCGACTACAAGGCTGGCATCGCCACTGCGGCGGGCGGGCCGACCACACCATCAACTACCGCACCGAGGACGTTGCGGCCCGCGTGATGGACATTACCGGGGGAGAGGGCGTCGACCACATCGTGGAGGTGGACTTCGCGGCCAACTTCCCGGTGACCAGCGAGGTGCTGAAGTCCTCGGGCGTGGTGGCGATCTACGCCGCTGGCACGGGCCAGCAGCCGCCGGTGCCGCTGCAGTTCCGCCGCAGCAACACGGTGGTGCGCAACGTGCTGGTCTACGACATGCCGGAGCCAGCCAAGGAGGCCGCCATCGCCGACATCACGGCCTGGCTGGAAGTCGGGTGCGCTCTCGCACCTCGTCGGCCCTCACTTCCCCCTGGAGCAGACGGTGCAGGCCCATCGAGCGGTCGAGGGCGGCGCCATCGGCAACGTGATCGTGGACGTGGGCGCGGCGTAAGCACCTTCGGGTGACATCAGCGGACAAACCCAGGACCGGAGAGGCACTGAATGGCGAAAAATGGTTTCAGGGTCATGGACTCGGACATGCATATCGTGGAACCGGCGGACCTGTGGGAGCGATACATCGATCCCGCTTTCCGGGACCGGCTCCGCAGGGCATGAACCGCCACCCACGCGATCTGGGTGTGCGGGTGGGGTGAGAACGTCTACCCGCTGCCCAACCGCAGCTACTCCAACGCCATACGCCACTGATGACCAGCCAGCAGGACGTCTACGCCGACTCAGAGCAGCGCGACTGGGACAGCGCCTCACAAGTTACCGCGATGGACAACGAGGGCATCGACGTGGCTGTGCTGTTCCCCAGCCGCGGCCTGTTCACGCTGGGCGACAGCGACCTGGAACCAGCTTTCGCCACCGCAATATCGCGGGCCTACAACGACTGGCTGGCCGACTTCTGCAGCGGCGGTCCGGGGCGGCTGTTCGGCGCGGGATGATCCCTCCGCAGGACATCGAGGGCGCGGTGGCCGAGGCCCGGCGGGCGGTGAACGAGCTGGGGTTCAAGACGGTGTTCGTGCGCCCAACCCGGTGGCCGGACGCAACTGGCACGATCCCTACTACGACCCGCTGTGGGCTGAGATCCAGAACCTCGGCGTGCCTCTCAGCTTCCACGAGGGCGGGCGGGTGAACCTGCCGCAGCCGGGCGACAACTTCACGACTCACATGCTGTACCACACCTGCACCCACCCGATGGGGATGATGCTGGCCGCGGTCGACATCGTGGGCGGCGGGCGTGCTGGAGCGCTTCCCGGAGCTGACGGTGGCGTTCCTGGAGGGGAACTGCTCGTGGGCACCCTGGCTGCTGTGGCGGCTGGACGAGCACTACGAGATGTCCGCGTCATACGACCATCCCGACCTGAAGATGGAACCCAGCGAGTACTTCCGCGCCAGTGCTACCTGTCGGTGGAGTGCGACGAGGAGCCAGCGGAGATCGTGTCGCGGTACGGGCTGGAGGACAACGTGGTGTTCTCCACCGACTACCCCCACGCCGACTCCAAGTACCCAAAGTCGGTGGACCGGTTTATGGAGCTGCCGCTGTCGGACGACGCCAAGCGAAGTTCCTGTGGGACAACTGCGCACGGCTGTACGGGATTGAGGTATAGCCGTTTCAGGATTGGATGCCTGCCAGATTCCTTACCCCATCCCGAAGACTCGGAAGCTCTTTGATTGGTTTCTATCTACGTCCATGCGGGGCGCGATGCTTCTGGCCCATTCACATTTTGCCTCTCCATCCGCCGGGAAACCTAACTGCTTTAGTTTTGCCGCCCCACCCTGATGCACGGCGTCGGCCAAGGCTTCCCACGTGCCACAAATGCTGTCCTGGACGTAGCCGTTCAGAACTGCGTCTCTTGCGTTGGGGTAGGCTGCTTTGACCGCAGCCCGATCTCCCAGCAGCCATGACTCGCTTTCCTCAATGGCGATGCGGAACAGAGTTCTGGGACGCGGATTGCAGGCATTCAGCACATCGAGTAAATCCTGCTTGAATCTCTGGCAGTCATCATCGTCCAAGTCCACTACTACTACGACAACCGATGTGGATTCATCGAGACTCCTGCCGAGTCCCCGCAATAAACTTGGCAAATTGTTCAACAACTGTTGGTTCTGCGGACTCGGCGCTTCGTACAAGTTATTAGGCAGTCGGCCCTTACCCTTGTAAGGGTGCATTCGCCAAGAATGCTCCGTGTAGTTTGCGCCAAGAATTTTTCCAAGGATATGCCCCAGCGCAATGCTGCCCGATGGGTCTTCAGCTGGTGTTAAGTCAAAGGTGAAGTGTCAGGATAGAGACGGCGGAGTTTGGCTCTGGCGTCCTTGGTGGTGAAGCGCCAGTTGATCGTTGCTCTGGCAGCGTTGCGTTCCGCTTCATAAGCACTGACGTTTTTGTGCAGGGCGTCCCCGTCCGGGTTGCGGCCCTTGAGGCAGGCACGAGCCAGTACGCTGAACTCAATCTCGGCCATATTCAGCCAGCTGCCATGCTTGGGCGTGTGGTGAAACTCCAGACGCTTAGCTATGCGACGGGCCTCAGCTGCAGGAAATGTCTCGTAGAGAGACGCCATCGATGCGTGTTCAGGTTGTCGAGTACCACCTGATCAACGACAATTAGTCTTGCCGGTTGGCGACGACTATTTTTGCCGGTCCCCAAGAGTAATCATCCGGTACAGGAGGTGCCGGATTGGTTACAGATCAGCAAGTCGCAACACTGAGGCAGAGACGAATGGAAGGAAAGACGCAACAGACGGCGGCGGCAATGGCGGGGATGAGCGAGCGCTCGGCCCGCAAGTGGCAGTGCGGCCCGTTGCCGTCGGAGACCAAGACTGAGCGCCAGTGGCGCACCCGTCCCGATCCCTTCGACGGAGTCTGGGAGAAGGAGATCCTGCCCCTGCTCCTGGGCGAGGCCGCCGGCAGGCTCAGGGCAACGACAATTATCGAGTGGCTGGAGGAGCGGCATCCCGGCCGGTTCAGCGCCTCGCAGCTGCGCACCCTGCAACGACGATTACAAGACTGGCGAGCGCTCAACGGCCCGGACCAAGAGGTCTACTTCCCCCAGGAGCATCCCCCGGGCCGCGAGGCCCAGATCGACTTCACCCACTGCAACTCCCTGGGAGTGACCGTCGGCGGTCGGGCCTATCGCCACCGGCTGTTCCAGTTGGTGCTGAGCCATTCAGGGTGGCGCTATGCCGAGGTGGCCACCGGGGAGACCTTCCTGGCCCTGAAGCAGGGGCTACAGAACGCCCTGTGGGAGCTGGGCGGTGCGCCTCGGGTGATCCGCTCGGACAACACCTCGGCCGCCACCCACGAGATGAGGCGCAGCCGCGGCAGGGCCCTGAACGGCAGCTACGCCGAGCTTCTGGACCACTATGGGCTCGAGTCCACCCTGATAAATGCAGGAGAGTCCCATGAGAACGGCGTTGCCGAGCAGGCCCACTACCGGCTCAAGGACGCCATCGACCAAGCCCTCATGCTGCGGGGCAGCCGCGACTTCAACTCCCTTGAGGAGTACGCCGGCTTCGTCCGCAAGGTGGTGGCTCGGCGCAACCGGCTGGTGATGGGGAAGCTGGAGGAAGAGCGCCCACATCTGCGTCCCCTGCCCCCAGCCCCGGTGCCGGAGTACGTCAACCACCGGGCCCGGGTGCGCAAGTGGAGCACCATCCAGGCAGCCGGACGGACCTACACCGTGCCCTCCCGGCTCATCGGGAAGGAGGTGCAGATCCGGCTGTACGCCGAACACTTGGAAGTGTACTACAAGGGCACCTTCGTGGATCGAATGGAGCGGGTGCGGGGCGAGAAAGAGGCCCGGGTTGACTACCGCCACGTCATCGGCTCCCTGGTGCGCAAGCCCGGGGCCTTCGCCCGCTACCGGTTCCGGGAGCAGATGTTTCCCACCATGACCTTTCGCCTGGCCTACGATGCGCTCCGGGAATGGCGTGGGGAGCGGGCCGACGTGGAGTACGTGCGCATCCTGCACCTGGCGGCGACGACCATGGAGACCACGGTGGACAGCGCCCTGGCCCTGCTCTTGGAGGCGGGCGGACCCTTCGACTACGCCGCAGTCAGGGAGCTGGCCAGTCCCGCGCCGCTGCAGGCGCCGGCACTCAGCCTGCCCGGGACGCCGGACCTGAGGGTCTACGACTCCCTGCTGGCGGAGGTGGCCTGATGCTGGACACCCTGACTAATGACACCCTGATGACGGACACAGTGGCCATACAGGAGCGGATCGGGGAGCTGTGCCACCAGTTCCGGCTGCCCACCATGGGTGCGCAGTCGGTGTCCCGCTTCACTGCAGCCGGCCACGGAGACGCCCTGGAGACTCTCCTGGAAGTACTGGAGCAGGAGGCCGAGGACCGCAGGCAGCGGCGCATCAGCAGGCTGCGCACCGCGTCCAGGCTGCCGGCGGGCAAGACCTGGGAAACCTTCGAGCACGACCGGGTGCCTCTGTCTCTCAGACAGCAACTGGGGGAACTGGCCGACGGCAGCTTCGTCGACCGCGGCGTCAACGTCCTGGCCTTCGGTCTTCCCGGCACCGGGAAAACACACGCCCTGTGCGCCTTGGGCCACCGGCTGGTGGAGTCGGGCAGGTCGGTGCTCTTCGCCCCGGCCTACCGGCTGGTGCAGGATCTGCTGGCAGCCAAGCGGGACCTGGCCCTGCCGCGACAACTACGGAAGCTCGACAGCTACGACTTCCTGCTGCTGGACGACCTGGGCTACCTGCCCCAGGGGGCCGAGGAGTCGGAGCTGCTCTTCACCCTCATCGCAGAACGCTACGAGCGCCGGTCCCTGGGCATCACCTCCAACCTGGTCTTCTCCCAGTGGGAGCACATCTTCGCCAACCCCATGGCCACCGCGGCCGCCATCGACCGGGTGGTCCATCACTCGGTCATCCTGGAATTCAACGTCCCCAGCTACCGGACCGGAGTGGCCCAGCAGCGGGGGCAGGATAAGGAGGTGAACCGGCAAGAATAATCGACGCCAACCGGCAAAAGTAGTTGAC